TTTTTTTGCCTTTTTTTTGCGTTTGTTTTGCTTGTGGTTTTCGTGGTTGCCTTTGTTTCGCGTTTTTGAAATGCGTTTTTTCTGGGTTTTTAGGAATCTGGATTTTACCAAGACAAGCTAGAGTACGACAGACATAAGGCTTTGCATAATGGTTCTTGGTGAGTGCACCTTAGGTACCTTAGGAACATTGGTGACTGGGGTTCTCTAGTTCTGTTTGTTCTTTGCTTTTGAAGTTGTTAAAGACAGACAGCCCTAAACCCTAAACCCCTAAGCCCCGAAACCCCTAAACCTTACACCCGCAAAATCGGGTTTAGGACATTGGTTTCCAAATTCTCATGCGGGCTTTAGTGTTTAGGACTGCGGTTTTTCATTCTTTCGCCATGCATCTTGCAAAGGGTTTAGGGTTTAGGGTCTAGGGCTAGAAAAAAGTTTGCGGTTCAGGGTTCTCAGGGCAAGAATCTCTCTAAACCCCAAGGCCCCAATCCCTAAACCCTAAGCCCTACAGACCCTAAGCCCTAAACCCTGAACCCTGACAGGTCATGGTGGGGTTTACATTCGTCCACGACAGCCCGAAGATCCAGATCCTAAAACTCTGGGGGGCATGACGGTTATCATTGGCATCATCATCCTCCTGATCATCTTGCTATGACGGCCGCTTCCGTAAGTGGGCACCGAAATGCCAGAGTTGCAGTATTCCCCCCTGAGCAGTGAACCCGATTTCTACTCATATTCCCTGAAAGCCCTGGACCGCAGCTAGGGATGGGGATATGACTGACAAGAGGCCGCCACTCGAGAGGTGTCGCCTCAGATTCGGATAGCGGCGTCGGCGTGAAACAAGATTTGCGTGCCATCCTCTTGGTGATCGCTGCTTTGTGAATTGCAACGGTGTTTCTGTTTAAAGTTCCTCGGGAATGAAGAATCACAGGCACTACCCAAGAACCCCTACATGAAGCTGCAGTATCCGTGTAAGTTGCCATTCGATTTGACTTTCCAGTAATTATATGAGCTACTGTCTAAACCTCTTAGAGGGGGTTATATAAGGGATTATATGAGTGGACTGCTGTAGGGGTACTTAGTCGGGTACTAGGAGTTTAGATTATAGCTCCCATGGACAATACCGACTGTGGCTCATCTCAAGGGATGCATGCCTTCCTTCGACTAACAACCAGCGGGAGTTTCCCTGCTGTCAGGAGCACCATGTGGGATGTGTCCCTTGCTTGCCGGGGCCCTCCTGTGGAGGGTGTTTGAACATGTGGACTCCTCGGCATCTCGGAGATCTGTGGAATGCAGTTTATGAAGAAACATCTAGGGACCCTTTTAGGACTAGTCGTGGTTGTTTTGAGAAGCCACCATGTTGAGCGCTGGTTTAATGGATTGCCTGACACTCCCCGACCCCCTTTGAAGGATCCAAAAAATCTTAGATTCCATTTCATTTTCCATTTTCATTGCCATTTAACTCTCTATGATTGTGTCCGATTTGTACTCAATTCTGTGGAAGCTGAGTCTTTCACGCTATCCACAGCCGAACGGATTGTCGCTGCAATATAACCGTCAGTTCTATCAGCCCCAATAATATAGTAGTTTGCACTTTCTGGGTTTACTTCCATTGTCCCTTTAAAGTCCAGGGCACGCTTATTCCCCAGCAGGGACATGGTGACCTAAGACAAGTTTCTGGTACTTGGTGGAGAGTGCAGTAACGGTTTATGTTTAGACATTTTGGAATCTTGATACATACCCGCGTGTAACCAACTGAGGGGACCATGAAGGGTGGCTATAGGGGTTCTTCTGGTAGTTTAGTATAGTCCTTCATATATTCCCCGATAAGTAAGGAAAATATCCTTAAATCCGAAACCCTAAATGCATAGTAGCATACATCTCGTTTCCATGTCCTTTGCCATTTGTTAAATGCATAGTAGCATACATCTCGTTTTCCATGTTCTTTGCCATTTGTTTTCCCGTCATTTATACGGGAAATAGTGACTGTAGCTTATATAGCCAGGGTTCGTCAACTTTCCATTTCTTTTTGCATGTTTCTTTTCCATTTGTTTCTCCATTTTTGGGGTATAAACCCTAAACTATGAAGGTAGGCGCATGCGATAGCCCCAGCTCAAGGCCACAGTCAAGGTCCTGTGTCATCTTATCAACCCTTTGCTCCCAGAGCTCTTTTGCCATGGGCGACAGCCGAGAGCAAGCCAGGTTGTGGTTGGCGTCTTTTTCTCAGGCACTGCAAAGCCGCGACTACAAGGGCCTGGCAGGCGGTTTAGGGTTTAGAGTTCAG